AAATTATTTTGCAAAATAAACCTTACCTTTAAATTACAGCAACCAAGATTTTTGTCAATTTGTCGAAAAGAAAAAATAAATGTTGGTATTATTAATTATCTACGTAATTAATAATATGTATTAATGTATTTAATTAATATTGTCAATATTTTTAATTAAACGTATCTTTGCAAGATAAAAACATGATTGACTCATAGGTTAAAATGTCAGTTTGTATTTCAATTTTATTTTCTAGGTGACGCTGGAATTTTAAATCTAAACTAACATATAATTTTAAATTATTTTGTATTAACTCGTACCTTAAAAATATTAATATTATTTATTAATTATATTATTAAATAATTAGAATTTGTGTATTATTCATTAACCGTATATTTTTTGTAATTAGTAAACATAGATTGAAATGTTAGTAGCTCAGATTTCTTTGTTCAGGTGGAGAAAGGATTTTATATCTAAACTAGCAGAAAGCTTTAAATTATTTTGTATTAAATCATGCCCTAAAAATATAATTCATATATTTAATAACGGATTGATTACGGCTGTCGCCGCTTCTCCGCCCCCAATTTCCATATTTTTCTGTCATGCGCAGTTACCTCTTCTAAGACTCTTGCCGCAATTGCTTCATCAATATCGTTGCGCCAACTTCTCCGTGGTCGTCCTCTCTTTCTTCTTTCAGGAAGGATCCATTCCAGTACTCTTTTAGGCCATCTGTACTCTGGCATTCTTTTAACATGTCCGAACCAGATTAATTGTTTTCTTTCTATGTCATCATTGATATTTCGCTCCATTTTCATTTCGTTCCTAACTCTTTCTAGTTTCGATCTACCGCAGCTTCGTCTCAGATAATCCATTTCTGTCGTCATAAGTTTGTTTTTATTAGCTTTGGTGACGTCCCATACTTCCGAACCGTAAAGTGTAATACTTTGGACTATACTACCGTAAATGTGTTTTTTGGTTTCTCGTCGAATTGTTTTTTGCCAGAGAAGAGAGTTTAAGGCACGGATCGCTGCTCTACCCTTGTTTATTCTTTCCCTGATTTCATCTGCGCTATTTCCGTTCTTATTGAAAATGACCCCCAAATATTTGCAGGATTGTACGCCTTTGATTTTGTCGTCTTTCAAGACTAGGTCACATATTTCATCTGTTCCCACTGATAGATATTCACATTTTGTCATATGTTCATGTTTAGACCTGCCACCTTATATTCTTCTTGCAGCTTTCTTACCATATAGCTAAGATCGTAGCTATCTTCGGCAATTACTACCTGGTCATCCGCAAATAAAAGTGTATATAGCGTGTTTTCTTCCACCGTTATTCCCATGTTTCTACATTTTTTTACCCATTTCACTAAGGATATGTCCAAATAGATTTTAAATAAGGTGGGTGACAGACAGCAGCCTTGTCTTAGTCTCTTTGTTGTTTGAAAAGGAGAGGTGATTTCTTGTCCCATTTTAATTCTTGCAAAGTTTTGTTCGGCCAATAGTAGCAATCACTGCGATCCCTCTATAGTTTTTAGGATCTGTTTTTGTGCCTTTCTTGTGTATTGGAGAGATATACGATTGTCTCCATTCTTCTGGAATTTCTTCTCCATTTAAGCATCTTTCGAATAATTTGCGGATCATTTCAAGCAGTTTTGATGATCCTTATCTAATCAACTCTGGATGTATTCCGCCTGGGCCTGGAGATTTTCTTAATTTTATTCCCTTAACTGTTTCTTTCACTTGTTCTATTGATAGTTCTATTCTTTCTGCTACTTGCATTTGTTCATTTGTCTGTTTAAACCTTTATCTTCTCTCTGTTAATAAGTTCTTAAAATGCTCTATCCATGTGTTCTCTGGTATTCTATTTATTATGAATTGGTTTTTTGTCGTTGTTCTCATCGTTTTTATAGTTCTCCAGGCTTCAGAGCTCTTTGTCCCTCCTATATGGTTGTCTAGATATTGGCATTTTTGTTCCCATGCACTATTTTTCTTTTTAAAGGCTTTTATAAAATATAATTCATAATAATTATTAATTAAATAAATATGTAATTAATATAATATTATTAATTTAACGTGGGTATGTTTCAAGAACAAAATATAAATGAAATGTCAGATTTTGGTAGTTCAGATTTTTTCCTAGATTGCACTAGGATTTTAAATCTAACATAAAGATTTAAATTATTTTGTATTAACTTCTACCATAAATATATTATTATTATAAATAAATTAATAATTATATTATTATATAATTAATGTAGTATTATTAATTAAACGTATATATAAAGACCAAAATATGATTGAAATATGGTAGTTCATATTTCTTTCCTAAGGTATTCTACTAAATAATTACCGGCTAAAAAACATCAGTTTTGCAGATGACACCATAGTATTTGCGGACAACTTGGAAGACCTACAAGTTCGTATGAACAAAATCACGTATTATGGTCAACAATATGGAACCAATATAAATGTTAAGAAGACAAAGCTTATGATAATTAGGAAGAAAAAGTTAACAGAATGCCAACTCTACGTCAATCAATCCCCCGTAGAAAGATTGACGCACTACAACTACCTCGGCACCAGAATAAATGAAGAATGGACCAACAAATAAGGAGATTAGAACACGCATCGGAAAAGCTAGATCCACCTTCAATCTGATAGGGGCTTTCTTCCAGTCACAACCTCTCTCTTAATATAAAAGTAAGAATGCTGCAATGCTACGACTTCTCTGTCCTTTTTTATAGTGTTGAATAGTGGACCTTGAACGAAGATATGTGCAGAAAACTGAAAGCATTTCGTAAACTGACCGAGTGGACTGACTGAGTCACAAATGATGAGGTCCTCCGATGAATGAATAAGAACCAAGAAGTACTGACCATCATCAAATCTCGAAAGTTACAATTCTTTGGACATATTATGCGAGATGAGTCCAGATATGCTGTCCTTCTAGCCATCCTGTAAGGAAAAATATTTGCAAAACGAGGTCCAGGAAGAAGAAGAACATCTTGGTTAAAGAACCTTAGAATTTGGTTTAATACAACATCTTTGCAGCTCCTCGTCGCTGCTGCAGATAAGATAAAGATTGCCATGCTTATCGCAACATTCGTAACGGATAGGCATATCAAGAAGAAGAATATTTTTTTCCTAGATGGCGTCATAACCTTACTGGACAAATGGTGTGATTTATCATGACCTTTGTTATAGTTAGATTATTCCATTATTGATTTTAAATTTCTTGTTAGTTGGGTCTACGTGAATTTATGAATTTACTACAGAAATTTATTAATCTTTCACTCATTTTACTTATTATTTCTTCTCCAAATGGAGTGACTAATTTGCTATTTATTTATTTTTTTTGGTTATAGCATTTAAGTCTTCTTCTTCTTCTTCTTTTTTATAAGCAAAATGCTTGTTCTCTCCATCGCTATCACTCCATCTTTTGCGTGGTCGCCCGATACTTCTTCTACCTTTTGGTGATTTGTCCCTCGCTATTCTGACTAATCGGGTCTCTTCCATTCTGTTTATGTGTTCGTTCCATTCCTTTTTTCTGTTCAGTGTCCACTCATTTATTTCTGGTATATTGCATTTTCTTCTGATCTCTTTACTAGTCATTCGATCCCTCAGTGTGTTTCCTGTAATTCTCCTCAGTAAACGCATCTCCGCTATTTCTAGTAGTTGCTGAGTTTTGGAGGTATCCGGTCTTGTCTCTGAAGTGTATGTCATTATTGGTCCTATCGTTGCTTTGTAGATTCTTGATTTCACGTCGGTATTAATGTGGGGATTGCGCCATATCGTGTTATTAAGACAACCTGCTATTTTATTAGCCTTTTGTACTTGATTTTTCACTTCTTTCTCCACATCTCCGTAGCTGGACAGTGTAATTCCTAGGTAATTTGTCTCCATTACTTGCTCAATGCTGATACCGTCGATTTCCAGTTTACATCTAATTGGTTCTTTACTGATTACAATTGTTTTAGTTTTCTGTGTAGAGATCACCACATTAAAGTATTCTGGTTTCTTTGTTCTCCATTTTGTATCCTCTTCCTTTATTAATAGTATTGATGATTTCATCCATGATTAGATTGAATAGCGTTGGACTAAGCGAGTCTCCTTGTCTTATTCCATTGCCCATATCCATTGGATCTGTAAGCTGGTCATCTATTCTGACTTCCATATTGTTGTTCTGGTAAATGTTCTCTATTGTTTTTATAACATTTAGTGGAATTTCTCTATCGTAAAGAAGGTGAATTACATCTTTAAGCTTTACTTTATCGAACGCTTTCTTCATTTAAGTCACCTAGTTAAATTTCTTTCTTCCTAGTTCCAATACTCTCTAGCAAGTCAGTCAATTGGGCATAAATTTTATCCTTTACCTTATATTTTTTATCTTCATATAAACAAACAAAATATTAAAATAAATTAAATTTTTATGACAACAGACCGAAATACCGACATATTTTTTTAAAAAATGATGACAGTTATCATTTGCTTGCAAAAATAATGTTTGTTTTTTATATTTTGAAAAACTTAAAAACTCAAACATTACTAAATAAATCCCACATTTTTTTATTACTCCGTTATTATAAGATAAAGTTTGTGTTAATTTTATTATCGTAAATTTGCTATAAAACATTAAATGTAAAGAAAACAACAAAAAATAAAACTACTTCGCGCCATTAGTCTCCCTGTACCTACCCCAACCACAACTCTAATTATTATATAAATATGTATGTATATATATATATATATATATATATATATATATATATATATATATATGTATATAGATTATTCAAACTAATTTTAAAATATGTACAAATAGATATCAACTATTTGACCCAAAAGGCTGACTAAACAAAGTTGGATTAAATTATGTGTCTACTTTTAAATTAATTATCAATATTTGAAACATATCAACTAAAAGACTTTGAAACCTCCACAAGTTAGACTGAAGAGACCGCGATTAATAAATAAAGTGATTTATGCTTCGATATCAAGAAATTATTTCTCAGCCTGATAATGGGCGATCATCTCATACCCACAGATATCCCGCTTATCATAACTTCAACTACGTCCACTCCCGAACCATCTAGGCGGCAAAAATCGTCCAAAAAGAGCATCGCTAGCAAAAGCAGCAAATCTGAGAGCCCCAAAACAAACGAGAGCAAGTCTCCCGAGGCAGAAACGCGCAGAAAGAGCCGAACCATTGGCGGGAGCTTAAAGTACGAGATCGGTAGAAATCAATCAGCTGCTAATTTACTTAATTTTCCTATCAAATGGTCGAGCGTGCGGATCAAAGGACCGGGCTTTGATGAGTCTCGGAAAAGTGTCGTCAAAATCGAACCGTGCAATGGCATGCCGAATATGAGTTTGGACTTTCACAATCTTAAAAGTCCTACGCAGGCGAATATCAAGAATAACATTGGCAACGTAAGTTTGATGTTGTGGCGTAGAAACTATGACTTTGTTTTGCTTTTTTTTATCTATTTATTTTATACACTCATTCACATTCACATTATATGTATCAAGCATTCTTATTATCACCATTACCATTACATTTTTGTTTCTTATATTCCTATTGTAACATGTTTCATAACACGTTTGCACGAAAATCATAAATATCAATCAATTTTGCTTATGTTTTAATTTTAAAGTTTCAGCACGTCATTTTTTATTTTTACTTGTACTATTTTCCGATTGATACTATTACAGAAGATGAATGGGCTTCTGCTTTTTCCTTCTTATCAGGCATTATTATTATTAATTTATTTTCTCTTTTATCTAAACTCTTATTGTCGTTAAATTCACTATCTAGCAACAGAACGATTTGGAGTTGATTACGTTTAAACTTTTTTCTTAACTTCAATTAAATTTTTATTTAAAAAAAACCTAAATAAAAAGAAGTAAAAGTTAAATTTAGACAGCAATACATTATTTAAACCAAGTATGTACGCCATAAAATCTAAACCAAAAAGGAAAGTTATTGAAATGAACGGCCAATATTCATTATAATTGAATTAATGATTGGCAAGAGACCATTGCGCAGAATTACATTATTTTAAGTAGTTAAGATGATACACAAGTATTCTGTTTAAAAAATAAAACAGTGCATCATTAAACAAAAAAAGGTCAGAATAAATAATTTCCATGAAATGATGGGAGTGAAATTTTGGATCAATCAATAAAAAAACAGGAAAGTAGAGTCCAGGCTGTAGATATAATATTTTTAAGAATAAATAAAATACAGGATGAATACAAGGAATTACATAAGAAAATTTTTAATTACAATTAAAAGACAATTGGTATATACACTACTCTCCAAAATAAAGGGACCACTTTAAATGAAATATAAGTTTAAACGTATAGACATAAAGTATAACTTTAAAATAAAGTTATTTTTCTTCTAAACGGTTATTGAATTTAACAGTTTTTTAGCCCTATTTTAAAGAAACTGATATGCAAATGCTTTCTGGAAAGTGGTTACATTTAACTTATCCTTCTCTTCTATCCTTTATCCTTCATAAGAGTGTGGTCACGTTATGGTATTTGCCGAATGGTTGCTACCCATTCTTCTCTCTCCTGGGCGCGGTGTGCTGCCTTAGATAGAGAGTAACCGGCAGCGCACTTTATTTGGTCTGACCATCTTCCTCGAGTTCTTTTACCATCTACCTTGCCTTTAACCACCAACCTCTCCGTGCCTTCTATCCGTCTGGTAATGTGTCCAAAATACCCCAATATATTTCGGTTGATGATTTTGGTAAGCCTAGTATTGATTTTGAGTTGTGTCAATATTGAGACAATTTTATGGACATTTAGGCTTTGCAGATCAAAAAAGCCTGATTTATAATGAAATGGTGGTTGATAATCACTAAAATAATAAATTTTGCTCATATAACCTGTTTGATTTATTATGATTTTTTGCATTGAAGTTTGACAGCGACTGTGCGAGGTTGCCAAATTTTCGTGATAGGTTTGTTCCAGTTTTAAATATTTTAAATGATATGTATTTAAACAAATCAAAATATTTCTGGATGAAATTTATAAATTGTTAAAACGAGTTTAATTTATGTTTTGCTTAAGGATAAATGCACCGGAACCCTAATCCAATGTTCTAATAAAAATTACTAAATATTACACACTAATATGATATAATTAAAAGGTTAGTAGTAATATATAAGCTTGTTTTATAAAAACATGTCTCGAATTAACGTGGATAATAAGTGCACTGCCACCGCGCGAACCTTTTCCTGTCATTACCGGATCTTTATTTAACGTGAGATATTCTAATACACTAAAATTTAATTCCATGTTAAGTTATACAACAATTCAATGAATTCCAATAGACTGTTACTGTGATCTTTATTCCTATTAATAATATATGATAATTTCTAAACATAAAACTATAACAAATGTTATAATAAAACATAAATAAACCATTTTTGTGATTGCTCTTTTCTCCTTAACTGAGTACGTACATTGTTTAATAAATTTAATTTTTCTTTTAAATAATAAATCAAAAAATTTTGCCCATTTAAATCATAGATAAATATAATATAGTTGACAAATATTACAACACGTAATACACATTCTTTTCACATGCCTGACTTTTAGGGGTGGCCTGAAAAATGTATTATATTTTAGCAAAATTTTGGAATACGTTTAAGTCGTAGAACAATTTTAACAATTGATTTCGATACATATTTGAGTCCTTTACAAATAGTTTCCCATGACTTTTGGTGTAAATAAGTAAGGAAGCAGGAATTCAACAATTTAGAATTTCTCATTATGTTTCCTATGGCCCCTATGGCCCATTTGACGATTCACCACCCTGTATATATATATGCGTATTACGTATAGCGTCACATATTAATACTGTGTGATAGCTTTATCTGTGTTTAACATTTCTATAAAAACATCATCTCGATATTTTTATAATCAGAGATTATACACAACTTCAAATATAACACATTTTCATGGACATTTAACATTAGACGTACTAGCAATTTTGCATACATAGAAGCACTGAAGCGGTCAAAATGAGGGGTATTAGAATGTTCTATCGCCAGCCGATTTTGTATTATTTTTTACTTAAAAAATCCATATTGAGTTAATATTTCCTAATGAAATAAATACTTAGTTAATTTATATAAATTATTTAATTATTTCAGCACCATTTATGCAGTAGCGAATTTTTTCAATTTTGCTTGTACAAGGCCTAGACTCAATTTTGTTACATATATGACCAAATTCACATGTTTTATTATGTTTTTAACTGTTTTTCTATTTGGCATTGCGTACATTTATTGTTTTATTGCTGTTTTGGATTTGTAATGTCCTATCGATAACGTAGTCGTATAATCCTGTCACAATTCTTCTGCTAACTGAAGTAGGAAATTTTACCAAGATATCTAACTGCCAGTAACTTCCTTATATAGAATCCAAAAATTAATCCCTATACAAAATATATTTAAAAAACGTGCAACGTCCATCTTCTTGAAGCTGACTTGGTCTGACCATCTCATCTGCATTGACTACTCCGTATTTTGTGTGGTTGTAGGAGATAATGGTTTTCAGTTGTTTTTTTTTATGTGTGCCTATTTTAATACTTGTTGAGGTTAGCTACCTGCTGTAAATAAATACTTGCAAATTAGTTAATAATACATTTTTTATCCCATCCCATCACGTATTCTGATTTTTTAAGCCTTGATAATTTTTTATAAATTTTGTAGGAGGATTTAGCTCCTTCGCCGAAAATTTTGGCTCCTTCTCCAAAAATTTGATTTTAAAGAATAAAGTATGCCAATACAATATTATAACATTATTTTATTTTAGAATTCTAAAATAATTTAAAACGCTTAATAATGTCTGCGATGTAAGAAAACAGTTTTTATAATTATTTATTTTATGTTGAAACCTTCATATTTTTTACATGTTTGATACCAGTGAACCATTCCAAAATCTTATTAGTATTTTCGTTTGTAAATTTTCAAATAATGTTTGAAATTTTTTTTTTTTTTTGCTTAATTTGAATTTTTCTGTTAATGCAAATGCTTTTAAAAAATCGTTAGCAATTAAAATATATGCATTATTACGAAGAAAACGTACAAGTATGATAGAAAACATGAATAATTATAATTAACTTAAATAATTATGTCATCATCATCAGTGACATTACAGCTCGTTACGATCTAAAGCCTTCTTCAGAACAATCTTCCATTCGCCCCTGCCTCTGGCAACTTTCTCCATGCTTTAAATCCGATGGATTTTAGATCATCCTCTATGTATCTTGATACTTAAGTTTTGGTCTGCCTCTGGTTCGTCTTCCCTCTGGTCCTCTTCGGTCGAAAATGTTTCTGATCGTATTAATCGTGATAATGAAATAATTATGTATACACAGTAAAATGATTGTGTATTAAAAATTATAAACAAAATAAAACTACTATAAAAATTGTTGAAATCGAATTTAAATTCAGTGGCAGTTGGCTTTTACCAACAAGTAGAGTGAAACGTTAAAAAGGATCTACATACGATCATAAAAATATAGTGCGCACGTGCAAGTGCTTACTAAGTTTTTTATATATTTATAAAAATTATCTTTTTTAAAAATTTTTGGCAAGAATAAGAATTTTTTCCCACCTCTTTTCTTCTCAAAAAGTTATTTGAAAATTTATAATATATCTTTTTTATTAAGACATTTTTTTTAATTCTAAATGTAATACACAGTTTTATTTTATTGTATTTAGTTTTAGTATTTTAATTTAAGGAACTGACAATAAAGCTGTAGTGTAACTTAAGGCAGAAGGTCCACTCCTAATAAAACGAATAACTTTTCTAATAAATGAATGCTGCCAACAAATTAAATACCATCTGAATAGAAAACCGCTCACCAAGTGTCCATTTTCAAAAAGAGTAATTGAAAAGATCCTAACTGCTACAGAGGATTAAGTGTCCTACCTACGTTTGGAAGATTGTTTGAAAATATAATAAATTAAAAAATACAAGATGATGTAGAACATTTAATTAGCGAAGAGCAAAGCGGATTTACGCCTGGTAGGTCTTGCAGTGATAACCTGTTTATACTCCAATAATTAAAATATTATTTATTTATTATTAAATTAAATTAGAAAAAGAATAGCGGATGGTACTGAAGTACACCTAGCCTTCATCGACCTACAAAAGGCATACGATAGTGTTCCAAGACTTAAATTGTGGCAAGCTTTAGAACAACTCGAGATTAGTCCATACCTTTTAAGGATGATCACATAAGTATACAGGGATAACAATGCCTACCTAAAAATCGGAAATAGACTATCAGACCCAATAAAAGTAACTAAATTAAAAGTTACTGTTTAATTTATACATTGAGGCAGCCCTCCAAATTGCCAAAACCACTGCTAGGGAATGAAAAATCCCCATAGGAAATGACATTA